GGTTTTTAACAACTATTTTTTCAAAATCTTTAAGAGTGAAATCGATTGAATTAACAATGTAATCCATTGCATGCAAAGTCAGTAGCAAAAATTAATTGAGTGCAATCGATTGCACTAACAATGTAATCGATTACATGCAAAGTCAGTAGCAAAAGTTTTGAAAATTTTAAGTATGCAATCGATTGCATAGGTAATGTAAATCGATTTCACAAAGAAACAGAAGCAAAAGATCTGAAATTTTGAAGTGTGCAATCGATTGCACTAAGATGTAAATCGATTGCATTCAGAAGAAAAATGAAATTGTATCTTTGAAAAGCTTGAGTAATGATTCTTAAACATTTCTTTTTCATTTTTGAGCATCTATATCTTAAGATCAAAGTAGATAATATTATTATACCTTTAAAGTTGTTGAGAGCTTTGAGTGAAGATATTATCTTAAGATGCTTAGATGCTTGATCAAAATCTTTGCCTTCTTTGTTAGCCATGGTTTGTCTTCATCAAAATAAAAGCTTATTTGTGAAGCTTGATTTTACATTCTCCCCCTTTTTTATGATGACAAATAATCTTTCTTTATGCGATGTACTTTCTGGAAGAGCTTCTCCCCCTAAGATGCAAAACTCCCCCATATGTAGGAGAGGATTGGAATCCTTTGCAATTCTTCATCTTGATTGGAGAGTACCTTGAAAGTTAAGACATAGGAAATACAAGCATAAAGTATAACATCCTTCTCCCCCTTTGACATTATCAAAAAGAATGGAAAGATGCATAAAAATGGACAAAATATATGTAATAGTATTGAAAGCTTTAACCATATCCATATTGCTTTATGATGCCTTTTTATCATCCTTCGATAAATTCACATAGTAGTTATCTTCATCAAAACATGATGTTGAAGCCTTTGTCACAAAGTTGACTTGTACTTAGAAGTTGTCTTTTATTCTTCAACATGAAGTACATCTTCAATGGATATGAAAGTTAGTGTATCAACTTTGCCAATGCCAAGAATTCTTCCTTTAAGGTATTTCCCATATGTGAAATAATCCTTGGACTTGAACTAGATTTGAAAGTTAGTATATGTCTTCCGTCATATGCATGCATATGAGTATGTATGAATATGCTACGTCTTTTTTGCTTTGAGTGTCTTATTCGCTTGGGTATATATATTTACTTTTTAAAGGTTTTTCTTTTTTATTGGTGAGCGTCTTAAAAGTAAATACGCGAGATACGAAAACAAAATGCCTTTATTAAAAATTGTAATTTTCTTGAAAAAAAAGAACATAATTCAGATATTGGAAAATACTCTAGAACATCATAGAAGTTAAATTGTTGAAGGAAATAATCAAAGGGAAACAAAATCTCCTAAGAGCGCATGCGAATGTCTACTCTGAAACGATCGACCATGTCCATGCAAAGCTTGAGGAAGTCTTCAACGTTCTTCGGTAGAGGAAGCATCACGTTTTCCGCATCTCTCAACCTCCTAGGGATGTCTTCGATTAGATTATTGGCTAAGAAAGCGAGACTGGTGTGTTTGCCTTTGTAGTACCGGTATTCATGGTAAAGATCGGGAATTATCTTATGATTATTCTTTCCCGCTTCGGACATCTTTACATATTGCTATTCTCAATACAACTTTTCAGCCCTTAACTTCGTATAAAGTCTCCATTGTATTAGGAAATCTTTTCGGAGGCCTTCTAAGTCAAGGAACACTTGCTCGTACTCATCGGTCTTTTTGGGTGAGAAGCCTTTCTGCTTTCATCCTTTTGAGGTGTTCCCCTACATCTTATTCTTGGCTATCCTAGAGTTTCTTAGTAAGGTACTTCATCTGCTCTTCTTGGTCCAGAGAGGTTTGGGCCTAATTTTGAATTTGGGCCCTCAAACTCTCCTCTATACACTTTTTATCTTTCATTAATTTTTCATACCACCTGTTCAGTCTCCCGATTTCATTAGCATCGTCCTCCAAGCGTTGATTATGAGAGTCCAAGTTGAAAGTAGCACTTAACAGCCCTTCGGTTGAGCGCTTCCTTTTAAGACTTTCTTTTTCAAATGCTTCACGTTCTCTCTGAATCTGTAGATCATTCGACTCAAGGATGCGTTGCATTTGGCTTTTCTCCTTGGCTAAGTTATGGAGGTTAAGCTAAAATTATTGCTTTTCCATTTGAGCCTGCTTTATGGCCTTCTTCAGATAGTCTATTTCTTTCAAGGACGTAGGCGGAGCCTCTGGGACCTCCGGCTTGTATTCAGGATCTATGTCAAACGGTAGCTTAACAACTTGTACTCTATCCAAAACCCATCGAATGTAGGGCTCTTTTGCCACAACATTCTTCTTTTCAGCTTTTCTTTTATTAAATTTATTCCAAGCCCGGATGACTTTGTTGAGTGACTATTGGTCATTTTTACCCATATCATGAATGATCAATTGTTGAAGCTGTTCGTCTGAGGTTTTATCTTCCAGAGGATACCCTAGTTGTCGTAGGCCCAAGGTAAGGTTGTAATTAATGCAACCTTGTGATCCGATCAATGGAGCATTAGAAAATTCCCCGCAACTATAAACAATATCACCAATGTCAAGCTTCCTTTCATACCATAATACAATATTAACAGTAAGAGACCTTAATTTTTTAGGCCACTCGTATCTTGTCAGGTTTGGAATCATATAGTCTTTCTTGTAGAGATGGGTCATGAACAGAGAATATAATAATATAATGCAACAATTCAGAGTACTCCTTCTTTTTTTGTACCGCGTATGAAGTGTATAATAAACATCCGTAAGCAAAGCGGGAGTTGGATATGTATTAAAAGTTTTTGCACCCAATAACACGCTAATAGTCGTAGGGTCGATATAGTCTAAAGTCCGTGGAAATAAGATTACACTGAATACAAGCAACCATAAACAATAATTACAAGATTCCCATTCTTTGTTATTAGCAAAATCTAAAGCTTTGGTCTCCAAGTAGCATCTCTTAATCCCTCGTATGTCACCTTCTTTCTTGAAATTAAGTGACAATTCGGGATAAGGGATCCCTAAACCTCCTGCCAACGTTTTGACGTTAATAGTCTGTCTTATACCCACATAAGCTTTTCCTTCAGAGAAGTTGAAAATTCTATCAAATTCTTCCAGAGTCGGTGCTAGCTGAAAGTCTTGGAAGGTGAAGTATCTTAGTGGAGAGTCGTAGAATTGAATTAGGGCGGAAACCGCATCCAATTGTACTTCTACTTTAGTCAAGTCCAGGATATCTCCATAGCAACGAGTGAACATTTTCAGAGCCCTTTCAGAAAGCTTCCCTTTTATAGCCTTGATTTTTGACATATCTGGCTTGATGGCATTGACGCAGACAAGTGGTTTCCCTTTGGTATTCATTTTTTAGGACGCTCACCAAAACCCTTTTATTATTACTTTTTAAACCATGTGAATAAGACAAACAAAAAGGAATAGAGGGTAGTGAATATATGGAATGTAAAAAATGTATGAATGCATGAATGTAGGACTTAGTGATGGGATTTTATGAATGGTACCCTTAGAAGGTAGGCGCATAATTTTATCCTATGGATATTCTACCCTCCCCATAAGGTGGTTTCCTTAAGGGTATCATGAATAACACTAGGGGAAGGCACAAGGGACTCCCTTAAGTGGAGCCTCATTACAGACCAAAACTTTCGTCTCTAGGTCATGAAAGGTCTCATCATGAGATTTTGGTTTGAAGGTTGTACAAAGAGTCATAGGTTTCATTTCAAAGTCCTACTTCCCAATAGGACATCTCTTGAGACGTATTCCTTTCGTGGAATTCTACCGACTCTAGGCGAAGTCTTCACATAAACTTATAGGAATGATGTAACCCCTTTGCTAATAGACGAACCTTCTTTCTAAGGGTTTTTTGAAAATATTTTTGCAATAATGAAAATCCCACCAATGAATAAGTATTACAATAAATAAATAAATGCAATAAATAAACAAAAAATGAATAAATAAAATAGAAACAAAAATTGAGAACACCAAAAACCCTAAACCCAAAATAAACTAAACCCTAGATTTGAAGTCCCCAACAGAGTCGCCAGCTGTAATAACCAGTTTAAAAATATAGAGTCGCCACCATTAATTGTTATCCTAAGGAAGGGAATATAAAGGATAACCCTAATTTTGTGCACAAAGATTCTAAATTCTTGGCTCGCTTTAGACGAAGGAAAGGTGTTAGGCACCCTTCATCTACCTTGTTCACAAGGATACTAGGGTTTAGAATTATAAATTTTAGGGAATAGGATTTTAATTTTTATTAGGGGAACTCGCCACGATTTTAAGTCGTATGCCTATGTATCCTCTTATGAAGAATCAGAGTCCCAATTCGTAGTTCGTAGTTGGTTGGTGTTTTTTATAGGATTGCATAGAATTGCTGAACCTTGTCAATTTGATCGTTGGTTAGCTGTTTTGAATTAATTGATTTGGTGGATTGAAGTATGGTAGAACATAGAACGAGGAGAGTCTGATATAGTCTCCCTGTCACGTGATCAGATATTGACCATGTGTTGCTCGATATGAAGGATGCGGAGGAAGTCTTATATAGTCTTTCTTATCATGTGGCCAAATATTGGCCACGTGTCACTCGCAGATGGAGTATTTCAGTGAGTTGCGTGGGTTTTAATTATTTATAAATATATTAAATTAATTATTAAAAAGTGTTTGCTTTAATATTTTGAGTTGCGTGGATTTTAATTATTTATAAATATATTAAATTAATTATTAAAAAGTGCTTGCTTTAATATTTTTATATTACCTGAATAATTAAATAAAGTAACTAATTAAATTAACCACAATTAATTAGATGAGCTAAAATTAATTAAAATTTACTAAATTATCTAAAGACTATAATATCAAAATAGGGATGTATAGAAATGTGTAAAAAGATTTCTTAAATTTGGCCCAAAGCCCAAACTAACAAACCTTAAATTTATTAAATAAAAAAAAGAAAAAAAGAAATAGGAAGAGAGAATGGGGAGGCGGACCATTATCAGGAAGGATAATAACTATGTGTTGACTTTTGAAAGAATCTCCACCGGCCAATAAGGCAATGAAACATGGCAGTGATATAAAAAAAATTAAAAAAGCAAATGAATAGAAACATGTAATAATATAACAAATTATGGCCCTTCACTATTTCTCTTCCCCACCTCTTGCATTCCCATTCTTCTTTATCAAATTCTAACAAATGAGAAAGAAAAAAGAAAAAGCAGAAATAGTCAATGAAGTGCGTGAGGGCGGAGGGATCGTTGTACACGACTGGAAGCGCGATCGGAGTGGGTGGATGGTTGAAGGATGACGGGGTGATGTTGAGGATGGAAGTGGATCGAGGGTTCAATGCGGTAACGGATCCGGAAGGGTGATGTTGGATCAGACGAACGACAATGGAATCTGCGATTTGGCGGAAGGGAGGAGGTGGTTGGCTTGGTGTTCGTCGTGGTTCGGTTTTCTTATTGTTGGAGAGGGAGGAAACTCGGCGGTGGTGATTTCCGTTGATGATAATGCTTGGAAGTGCGACTGTGTATGTCGTGTTGCAGCAACGCTGTGGTGGTGGCGTCAACATCATTGATGGGGAATCAAGCAGGTTGTCAATGTTGTCAGAGAAGCTTCCACAAACTATCTCGTCCATGAAGTTTGGTCCATTGTGAATCTGCATCAAAAAGGATTTACACCTTAAATTTTATTGTTAGTATTGTTAGTATGAGAACACCAGAAAAATGTGATTATGTTGCTGAGGTGTGTTGTTCAATGTTAGTGATACTGGTGCATATCATTGTTTTTGGTTTTGGGTTTATTTAATTCAATGGCAGGTTGATGTCGTAGTTTGTAGTAATAAAATGTGAAGAGGTTATGTGTAAAGTTAGTATAGTTACCACTAAAAACATAAAGAAAATTAAGGGGAGAAATTTTTGATGTGTGAATACAACATGAAGGCCATGTGCGTACTTGAATGAAATTGTCTTATTGTTAATGACGAAATAAAGTTTTAAAATAAATTACCATCAGATAAACATCACATGGTTAAAAGGAAATAAAAAAATGAGATGCCTCATATTAAATCATCAATCAAGAATAAAAATTTCGGAGTTGTTGTCTGATATAGTCAAAAATCTTAAAAAAACAAGAATTCTAATAGTTTGGAAAGATAGTGAATTTGGAGATGTGGATGTGTAGTGCAATTGTGAAAATGTTGATCTGTCCAATTGTTGATCAGGGTTTAATGAATTGTTGATGAAAAATTAGGACAACCTAGGATCCTATTTATAGGGTTAGAATTAGGTTAAAAGTCTTGAAAGTTAAGCTACCCAAAAATGAATAAAAAAGCCCAAAGCTTGTTCTTCAAAAAAGGAAAGTAAATTAGCGACAAAAAGAATAGAAAAAATGTTAAAAGTGTTCCATAAGAGATTCAAACTCACGGTCTCATACTTGTAAGTTTTACTCATTAACCAATTGTGCTATGTTACTCTTTTGAAATTTAAACCCAATTGAAAGTATATGGGAGGTGCGGAGATATTTGCTATTTTTTTTTTAAATACAAATAATTTAAAATAAATTATTATATTTTTAAATAGACTTAAGAACGAATATTTATAAAACCTTGAAATATTAGTGAAAACCAAAATAATTTTATAAAACTCCAAGTTCAAAAATAATTTTCACTGTAGTACCAAAGGGCATGAAATTTTGGGCATGGCAGCTGCCCCTATTTAATTACTCTTCGATTGAAGAGTGAGAGAATACGTAAGTCTCGCAAATTTGAATCATAGGGTTATTAAATAATGGAAGACCCTAAAAATTCCACAACAGAGTCGCCAGCTGTTGTAACTGGATTTTAAATCGAGTCGTCACTATTAGTTTTTATCCTAAGGAAGGGAATCTAATAGGAAACCCTAATTTTATCCATAGAGATTCTAAGTTCTTACTTCATTTAGAAGAAGGGAAGGTGTTAGGCACCCCTCATCTACCTTGTTCGCAAGGATACCAGGGTTTAGGTTTTAAAGGTTTATGGTAAGGGTTTTAATTTTTTAATAGGAGAACTCGCCATGATTTTAGTCATATGCCTATGTATCCTCTTATGAGGAATCAGAGTCTCAATTCGTAGTTCGTATGGGCTCATATTTTTTTATGGATTATGAAGATATTTTAATTCTCCTTGTGCTTAGTCTGACTGTGTGAATAGTAGAGATTTTGGGCCAAGCGCGCAGTTAATTAAGATATACTTCGTAGTCCTTTTCAAAAATTAATTGTTGAACTAAATTATTTATGAAAAATGGTTTGGTGTTGGTTAAATATTTTTTATGTATTAATTGTGAAAATATATTATTTAATGCATGATTAAAAAATAATTTAATGCAATAAAATAAATAATATTTAAATGAATTTAGAAAAATATTATTTTATTTAATAATAATAAATATATTAAATTTATAAATATATTAAATAAAAAGTATAAAAATAAAAATAATAAAATAATAAAATAAATTAAATGCAGGGGGTCTGAATTTAGTTTAAGCTAGTAAGAATAGGGGTGCTAACAACATGGGCCTGAATTCAGATATTGAATTCAGGCCCAAAAGGCAGGGGGTTTGTTTTATAGCTAGGCAGTAAAAAAGAAGGGGTGTAAGGAATATGGTCCAAGTCCAGATTTTGGACTTGACCCGTTTGGCCAGGGGGTGAATTCTGAGCATGTTAGCAAAACAAAAATAGAGGAAGGTGGCTTTAGTATGGGCCTGGCCCAAAGCATGTAGGAGCCCGTTTGATACAGTACAAGCAATAGTATCCTAACCTCTTTAATTTACCCCAACCAAACTCTAATTACAACAACAATCTACAGAAGCGCGCAAGACAAAAAAAAGAAAGCTAGGTTATCGTTACCTTTGGGTTGCGACTGTTCCTCGAGTCTCTCCGATTTCAATCTTTCTGATCTCCTTTCCTTTTTTGCAGGTAATCGTCGATGTAGCAGATTTAAGCGTTTAAGGTTTCAGATATTGAAACCCTAGGTTCGCAAGGAACGACGAAGAGTTGACGGTGGCGGCGCTCTAATCTATTCCTCTGTTCTTCTTCAAATTTCTATAAAATATCATCCTCCCAATTTTTTTCTCCTCCCTCCTTTTGTGTTTAGGGTTCTTGGGTATTTATATTGTTTTAGATTAGATCATTTAGGAAAGTTTTATATGATTATCGTTATTTTTTAGATTTGAAGGAATTAGGAATTTACATATTTGATTCAGTTGTAATTTTTAGAGATTAGGGATTTGTAATTTTTTTATACGATCTGTAAGTTTTGATTCGTTTCTGTAAATGGTATCAATTTGATTATGTAAAAGATTTAATTCAGTTTGTAAGTTTTTGAATCTGGATAGTTAAATGCAAGAGATTTGTTTTTTGATTATTGATTTGTATAGTAGTTGTTTGTGACTTAAAAAATGCGTTACCTTTCATCAATTTACATAGTACTTGTTATGAGAATTAAAGTGTGCGTTATTTCTTAATTGATTCCAACAGTAACGGTATCTATCTTCAATTGGATTGTGAGCGTTTTTTTGTTTTGGACTTGAATTGGGTTTGGACTGGGCCATGCGCTTAAACAGTCTTAACTTTAGATAAAACAACACAATTTTTTTAATTATAATTATAATTTTTAGTTATAATAATAATATAATATATTAATTAAAAACAAAGCAATTGTTTTCAAAACAGTCAAAAACTTAAACGGGATTTATTGTTTAACAACTTATTGGTCCTTAACAAAATAAATTGCTTACGGGCCTCCCTGACCTAAACACACACCCCTACCTCCTAACTTATTTTAAAGAACATGCCTCAATATCTTAGTGGGTCGGTTTTCATTAATCCATAAACCTCTCAAGTGATAGCATAACCCCCCCCCCCCCCCCCCCCCCCCCCCCCCCCCCCCCCCCCTCATCATGAACTAAAATTGACTCAAAACTTTGTATGAGCCAAGTGGATCTTTCTGATTCAAACAAATACAAACCCCATCTCCTCTTGTAACAAACAAATTTTAACCTTAATGGGCTTGACTGTCTTACTTTGGGCCTCAACACAAGCGAATTACTCACACACCTCACACACCCCTCACTTATTTTAAGACAAACTTTTATGACTCTAATGGGCCATTCTGATATAGAAGGCCCATGAATCCTTTAAGTAACACCCCCTCTTATTAATAACTAAACCCCTCCCTAACAAGATTTAAAAATTTATATGGGCTTTTCTGATTAAGAAAAAAAACCCATCAAACCCCCCTTTTAAAACTAAACCCCGTTAATGTATCACCAAGCAAAAAATGATGTTTCTATGGCTGAAAGATTGAGAACTAGTAGGACAAATTTGGGGTATGATATAAGCCATTGGACATGATGGAACAAGGTATTTGGCATCAAAATAGATAAGATTATGGATACAGTTTCAACAAACAAAATGCATAATTTGGACAAAGTTTATGGTAAGATTTTTGGTAGTTTAGACATGGACAAATTTGATGCATCATGAAATTGATTCAAATCTTAGCAAAAATGGACATTGAAACTTGTAAACTTGACATTGTTTAATAAAGGGACAATTGAATGAAGATATTAAACTTGAAAATTGGAATTTTGAAATTAAATTAATGGTGAACTTGAAATTAAACTTTGGCACTTGAACAAACTTGCTTCCCAAGAAAACCACATAAACCTTGTTCCAACTTTTGGCATACTTAAGCAACTTTGATAAACTTGAACAATTTGGACTTGAAATGAATTCATTTGGATGAACTTGTAATCAATATGTGTGCCTTGAATTCCAAGTAACTTGTGTTCCAAGTAAGCCATATGACACTTTCACATTAAGAACTTAAATGAATACTTTCCAAATCAAATCTTCAATTCTCCATGGAAACTTAACTCAAATCTGAAAATCAAACTTGCATTACAAGTAATAAGAACTTGAGAGAACAATAATGCTTTGAGGAATCATTCGATGAAGAAAGTAGCTTGAGATGTGGAAATAAGTGTAATCAAGATAAACCCTAGTCCTATGAACCTCTATTGAAGAACCTTTACCAAGCTTGAGCATAATAAATGAGAAACCCTAATCCTCTTACTTTGAAAGCACGTCAATGAAAATTTGACTTGAGATGTTGACAAGGAATAAAGCCCTAGCTCAAAGCATTCTCATATGAATCAATGATGATACACTAAACACTTAATGATCTTGATCTTTGATGAATATGACTTGTAGCTTGATAAATCTTAATGACCTTTTCTAAGAAAGATGTTTATGATGCTTTATGATTCAAAACCATAGCTCACAAGAATGATGAATGAATCAGTTGAATCAACTTGAGTAAAGTAGAAACTTCAATCCATAGAGAAAACCTTAATGCCAATAGCCCTTTAATCTCATGCCTTAGGAGCTCAAAATGAATGAAATACTTATGAGGAAATTCATATGATGTTATGAATAAACTCTGTAGGAGTAAAAATTTGGGTATGACACTTGGAAAAATAATGATGCTAGCATAACCTCAAACTCTAAAAGTGAAGAACAAGCACATCTATCTTTGATGGTTTCACATCACTCCGATAATGACGAGGTGAATAATTTTGACTCAATTGATAAATATTTTTATGATGAATTATAAGATGCTTTTAA